TTTCTATTCAGTTCTGTTACATATCTCTTGCCTGGAACTGACATGGAGTTTTTCCAACCATTCACCTTACCAGAGTTGATAGCCCCATCTACGAAACCTTTCATCCATGCTATAACCTCCTTTGACACCAACACTGTCGCCCTGTTATTCTCTCTGATTTTCAGTACAACCTTGCCTTTGGTCCTTTCCTCTTCAAACTTGAACGCCTTGGCTTCGATCGACACCTCAGACCTCCATCTTCCTACTGCTCTGAAACCTCTCTCGTCCTCCATAGAAATTCCTTCGCCGCTTTATGAAGTCAGCTAGCTCTAACAAAGAATCCTTCGAGTAGCCTGCTTACAATCCGTATCATAAACCTTGAATATAAATTCGATTTTCTGTTGCAGAGTTGCACGAGAACTAAAGGCAGACAAGAATGCCACGAATTCCTTAAAATTCAATCCATCGACCATCCTTAATAATCTCTGACAGAGAGGATTGACAGCGAACTCCGGCACAGACAAGAACTCCTCTGCAGAGATGAATCCAGCACCATTTCGATCGAGCTGACAGAACCTTTGGTAAAGCAAAATGATTTCTTGCTGTGAAACTGCACAGTTAAAGGCATACCAAGTAGGTATGGTTGCAATGCTCCTGGACTTCTTCAATGTCGTATTGAGTAAGCATAGACGAAGTGTTTCCCATTGTCACAGAGGCCGGGGAGAGAAATTTCCTGAGAAGCAATAGAAAGAGAATGAGGTCTGTTGGTGGATGAGGAATCCTAATTCCACCATTCAAGCTCGATAATGGAGGCTGGGAAACAACTGGGTCTTCTGAAGAAGGGAAAGCAGAAAAAGAGAAACTTCTGTAGGCAAGTGGTCATCTTTTTTGACCAGTAACTATTGAGAATTTTATTAGTTATTTTTTCAGCTTATTCAACGGACAATCATTCACAGTTGGTAGCAATGGCACATTCTGCAACTTCAGGGCCTAGCATTTGTATCATTGTATGGGGTGGTCTCCTCCAGATGTAAACCAAGCCAAAGTAGAAAATATTTTTAAAAAACTTTAAAATATTAAAAATCCAAAATAGCAAAACATTATAAAATTGCCATCAAATGATGAGTCTAGAGAAAACTGATTTCTTTTTCTATGGGTTCTTTCACTATTTCAATGCCCGCATCAGTAAATCACTGAGATTGATTAACATATTTAGTTATTTTTCATTTTTTAGGCTATGATATTTATATTTGGCGCCATGCTTTGCCTTTGGCAGTAACTTTGATAGGTAATAATTCCTCTAGAGGTGGCCATCTCATGTGGTTGTTCATGCATATGAAACACTTTTTTTTTTCAATTAGTGCATTGATGGTTTTGTTAGCAAATAGTGTTGCTGGATATATTTCATTGTAATTTATTTTTGAAGGAACCTTGTATTTGATCAATGTTGTATTAAGGTGTATGATGAAGCTGTGCTTGATTTATATTTTAAGGACCTTGTTGATAAACATTTATATTTGGCATTTGCTTGATCTGTTTTCTTAATTGCGGTGGTCTTTGCAGGACTCTGAACATGAAGTTCAGGAACTACCTTCCTCATGATAAACAGCTTCAGGAGGGTAAGCTTGCTCCACCAGTCCTACCAAAATTTGAAGATCCAGTTGCCACTGAGCCGCCTCCATCACAAAAGACCGAGGTTCTAATTCTTCTACTATAAAACATTTGCATTATGGATAATGATGAGGTGTTTTACCCTCGTCTTGCTGCTTAACTGACTTGGAAGAGTTGAACAGGATCCATTTGTAAACATTGCTCCAAAGAAGCCTAATTGGGACCTCAGGAGGGATGTGCAGAAGAGACTTGAAAAGCTGGAAAGACGTACTCAGAAGGCAATATTCCAACTTATGGGTAAGTACTTTTTGTGCATCAACTATAGTGAGTTGGTAAGGAATATATTGAAACTTCTGGTGAAACAAGATTTATGCAGAGGCTTAGCTTAGTTTTTAAAATGAACTATCTTTCCTAGGAAACAATTGGCTTATTTGTTTGCTTTACCTTCATTGTTGTTGATTCGTACTGCAGAAGAAGACAGGCAGAAGCAAGAGGCTGAAGAAAATGGAGCTGCTATTGAGGATTAGAAATTAGAAATCAAGTATTGTATTGCCATTTTAGTAGCCACCATTTTTTGGAGAGGGAATGCTACTTGCCAGTCAAAAATCTATTGCCTATGATGATTTGGTTCTGTCTAGAGAAACCAGATTTGCCAAAAGAAAGTAAAGTTCATAGATATTATGGGGAGAGCCCTTCCGTTGACTATAAATCTATAATGAAGTCGTATACATTAACTTCAGAAAGGGGGAAGTGGATATCGTAAGCTCTTTGCTTGAAATGGTTGTCATTGAGAATTATGAACCACCATAACTACATAGTTCATATTATGTTTCTTTTCGCATGGGAGTTTTAGAAACCCGAAATGCGTTTGCACCACTATATTTCCTGATAGCTGGAGTAATGGCCTTTAGAATAATTATGATCAGTTTCACTTTTCTCTACTGTTCAACCCATTTCCTTGGCCTGGGCGGGTAGCCCTGGTTCTTCTAGGTCCATCGTTAACAGATTACATTTTCTTTTTGTTGAAGTTTTTTGGTGGTATTCCGTGTGCATGTACAAACTTTCTTATATACTGTTGTAGCGAATGCCAGACGTCAGAAAACCATTGTATAGATCAAAAGCGATTAAATCACGTCTGAACAGCTCATTCCTAAGATTCGAATTTCAAAATATCGCGCAACTTCTACATTGTGGATTTGCCCACCCCTCGAATGTTATATGCAATTATCTTCGTGATAATTATGACTGTTACTTTCAGAATTGTTAGCGCAGTACCATAAATATAGCAATCAGGAAATGATTTGGCTGGGTAACATGGTGCAAAAGTCAGGCATTAAACATAGAAACGCTTCAATATTGAGACGGTACCAGCTAGCTTGCTGGTAAGGAGATTTGGGATAAAATCCCACCATGGGTTTGGTGGGTTTCTGGGTTTTGGGGGAGGTCTTCCCCCCGTTGTGTAGCCCATCTGCCTAACAAAAGAGTTTTCAAAATTGGAAGGCACAAACAATTTGTTTTCTTCTAGAGTTCAGTGTGTTTCCTACGAACAACTTGTTTTCTTGTCACTTGATTAGAGGGGAAGAAAATGAGTTTTTCCATTTTTTTCTCTCCTTTCTTTTTTCTATTTCAATCAATGAACGCTTTACACCACGAAGTTATTTGTACACGAAGCTCTGCCACTCCACTCGGGCTATTCATGGGCATTGGGGAAAAAAAAGAAACGTAAAAAAAAAAAGGCTACGGACATGAATTTTAGTACACAGCCGGAATACTCGTAGAGTCTTTCAATTGGCTTCTCCATAAAAGCCGGTCCATCGTCTCTATAAGCTAAGCAATCAACTTGTCTATGTTTTATCAGGCTTGCGATGGTTAAATCCAAATTGACCCTTGATATTTTCCTCACTCCATGAGGGGCTTATAGAAGGAAGTTGATATTCATCAGGTTTCAGTGCCAAAGCAAAATCTGGCAATGCAGGTGCCTTCTCCATAATCCTGCAACCAAGAGTGCATACCTACATTAGAGTCCGCAAGAGAAATCTCTCAATTGAATGTGTACCAACTTTTTTAAAGTAACTATTTTTTTCCGGTAGTGTGAGCTTGTCTTACACCACTGGTTCCAAGCCCAGATAAAGGAGGGTTTGTGTCAAGTAAGTAGCTGGCACTAAAACTTCATGATCATGGTCCCAATATAGTTGGGAGAAGGCTTAGATGAAAAATTGTGACATTACAACATTAGAGAGAGAGAGAGAGAGACGATTCAAGTGCACAAAACATATTTATGTATATGTAACTACGTATCTGCAACAAACAGTTTCAGGCCAATTGAAATAAAATTTTGGGTAACAATATATAATCTAAAATTGGTCCAATAAAAGAATGAAAAAATGAGTATGGCAGAATGTTGGACAGTTGAAGAACAGTATGTCCAAAAAAATGAGTAGCAGAAATGTGAATGCCTGGATGAACGAGTAGGTAAAAAAACTAGAAAAGACAGTTAAAATGAAATCATATGAGAGAAAACGCAGATTGAGATGGTTTGTCACATGCATAGAAGAATATCTACAGCACTTGTTAAAAAATTGATCTGTTACAAATTGAAGGTGGCTAGAAGAGCTAAAGACCCAAAAGGACAGAATGGCGAAACAGGATTATGTAGCTGATCCTGTAAATTAGGACAAGCTTTAGATGATGACAATGGCAATGATGATGAAAATAATGGAAAAATGAATATCACTTGGTGCAGTATATGGATGCATGTATATGTAATATGTAGCCATAAACACATTATTTATATGAATTTGTCTAACATGGACAAGTAACTTGGATGGGTACTTTTTGGATTAACGCTGTAAACTCTAGATGAAGATTACTTAATTGATGATGGAATAAACCCACCAACCTAAACTGAAAATTTCTCAATTTCTGGTCAAGGTTCAAATAAGCCTGCTCTAAGCCCTGACCATTGAGAACCAAGACAACTGTACCTCCCTCCTATGCAGAGAGAGAGAGAGAGAGAGAGAAAGAGAGCAATATCAAAAACATATACATATTTTACCTTTCATTACTGTAGAGATCACGGTTGATCCGCACCTTGCTGGAAGTATCCTTTGGAATCTTCTCAGAGAGATACTTCATGGTTCCCCAAAGAAGTGGATTCCTATACCACAAAATGCCAATACAAAGAGTTAAAGCAAATTCAAGACTATAACCAAAGTAAACAAATATTATGATCTAGTATCCAGCAGGACCTTAGATTAGGGTTCAAGGAATTCCCCAAGCCCATTATCTTTAAGAAGGCATTTGTTCTCTTTCAGAATGAACAATATCTCCACAAGATCCTGGGTGGTAACAGGGGGTTACCAGGGTTTGTGCAATGCCTGGCACTTCTTGTATAGATATATGTATTATTTTACATAATTAATTAGGGGTGAGCATATTTCGGTTAAAACCAAAAAACCAAACCATAATTTCAGTTTTGGTTCTTAGATTTGGAAGTTCGGTTAACCGAGAAAATTGATTTTGGTGTGTGTGTGTGTGTATACACACCAAAATAACCAAAATAATTGAATAAGAAATTCGGTTCAGTTATTTCAGTATTTCCTTAATTCAGTTCTGTTTTTTAACCAAATAAACTGAATGCTCACCCCTATAATTAATAAGGATCACTATAATTGATAAAAAATAGTATCTCCATAAAATTACACAGAGCCTAGAGTTTTCAAAACACCAGTCTCCAACTTAAGAAGCAACACTCAAAGATCAAGGCCACGCATACCAAGTAACAGATTATCTACAAGCAAAATATCAGTAGAATAAGCATGTGTATGAGTGACTAGTGGCAACATTTGACATGTAAGTTTAGTCTCTTGATTTAACGAGTGTTAGATAGACTTTCCTAGACCAACAATCTGTCTATCTCGGACATACGCCAAAGTCCAACACACTAATTCTTGTCTACATTTCTATGTAGCATTTCCTCTTATCTTTTGGCTTATTTGGCATAAATGAACAGCTTATTTACAAGATAAATGTCATTTTCAAATAAAATGTTACTTGGTAACAAAGTCAACATTTTAGACCCCCTGTTTACAGGTATATGATGTTAGAATTCAAAAAATATGACCTATTTTAGTGGTGTATACTTTTCCATAGACATGATTGTGCATCCATGTTTTCTCACCTTGCCAAGTCAGTAACTTGGAGACACATTGCATTCCAACTCCTTTGCCGTCTCCATGCAATATTGCTTTTAACATTATCTTTTACAGTCAAATAGTAGGACTAAAGAAATATTCAAAATATGTGATCTTGCCCACCAGATTAGATCGGTTTCACTAATAAGAAATATTCTAAAAGGAATTTACTGAGACGAACACTACATGTGTGCACCATTTGTCAGCTCCCCAGTAACCACTAAGCAAGGATTAGAAACCAGGTTTCAAGTGGATCCAAATGGAAACTTTGACTGAAATTTTGGTGTAGTCCTGGGATCAGGTCAAATTTTCAAGGAAAAATCAATTATACGTCATCTGTCATGGAAGATTAGAGAAGAAAAATCAATATGAGAACAAGAGTAGAGAGAAGAAAATCTGTCCTTAGGGTGTGGCGGCTCTCCACAGCCCTATATATACTAATGAAAAACTACATTAAGTACCCTTGCACCTAAGTACATTAGAAAAACTAGTGCATATGACACTCCCCCTCAAGTTGGATCATACATGTCATACATCCCCAACTTGTTACATAACTCCTTGTGGTGCATATTAGCAATTTTCCCACTAGATTTAGTATACAAAATCCCCCCCCCCACACACACACCTACTTTCTCGTGATTTTTTTTTTTTCTGAAGGTAGGCTCTATTGCATATGTGATAAGACAAGAACAAGGCAAAATAAATCTGAAAATATCTCAACTCTAATCCAGGTATGATTGAATTAGGGTAGAAGAGAAGGAGAAGAGAACAAGTTGGAAAACAGAGCTGAAAGCTAGTTGAGATCAAAGAGAACTATCAAACTCTAACTGCTACCCCAATGGGGTTTTTATTATATTAACGTTGAAATTACATCATTGCTCCTAAGACTAAAGACCCAATAACACTAGAAATAACAGAGCAATAAAAGTAAAAATACCAAACTAACCCTACAACCAGCTTTATAACTCAACACTACCCCCCTCAAGTTGGAGCATATAAATCATAAAGTTCCAACTTGTTACAACTATATTTCATCCATGCATGATTCAACCCTTTCGTGAAGAATCAGCTAGCTGATCTTCAAACTTTGCATAGGGTGTGACAATTTCTCCACTAACAACATTCTCCCATACAAAGTGACAATCCACTTCTGTGTTTGGTTCTCTCATGAAACACTAGATTGGAGGAGATGTGAATAGCCACCTGATTATCACAAAACAGTTTCATGGGAGTTGGAACCGCTGATCCTATCTCCTGTAATAAGTGCTTCAACCACATTAACTCACAAGTGGTGTGGGCCATGGCTCTGTATTCTGCCTTAGCAGTCAGTACTGCTCTTAGCCACCACACTCTACTTTTTACTTTTCCATGTAATCAAATTCCCTACCACGAACACCCATAACCAGTAGTAGACTTTCTATCTATAGCTGATCTTGCCAGTTGTTTAAGGTGAAGCCTAAAAACAAAGGAAGAAGAGGAGAAAGGAGGAGAAGGGAAAAGAAGAGAAGAATAAATTTTGATAAGAATCAATTCACTAATGCCATTATCCATCAAAAAGAGCCTTTTTTGAACAAAGTGGTTTGGACCAGGACATGAATCCAGCAGTGGAAGTGGCAAGAAATTACAAACTAGGAAAATTACATATATAAGATTGTGAAACTCCACATGCTTTAATGATCATCCACTCTACACTCCTGTAGATGGACTAAAGCAAAAAAGGAAAAGCTTCTTCTTTACTATACTACACTTGGACCAATCAAACAGTTATCAGTTATGATTCTTGAGTCAGCTAAACTGAGCTACTCAAAAAATACTTAATGGTCCAGATCGATGAACTGGTGGTTCCATCATGGAATATAGGTATAATAATAACCAATTCTTCTAGATAAGAATATAATGTCATCAATTAAAAGTTCCATCACTTTTATTGTCTTAGAAGATTATGTAGGCAAAAGACAATTAACTCCAAAAACCTTTTTTCTGACAAGTTATCTGCCACAAGTTGTGATTTAGTTATGGAAGCTCATAATGTGGATTCCGAAGCATAAAAAAGGTTTAAACAACTACCTTGATAGGGGAGGAGCCATGTTGAAGGCCTCACAAGCCTTCTTACTGTCTTTGAGAAACTCCTCTGCTACTTGCAAGGCAGCAACAGCCATACCATGAGATTTCTCTGTATTCCCCTCATCAAGTATCAAACCATGATAATAATATGCTGCAGCCTGGAAAAGAATGGAATTTGCAGATAGATGCATCAGACTTAACTCAAATGTAATCCCAATTAACCATAGAGGAGGAATTCAAAAACTACAATCATTGCCTTCCCCATGAAGCGGGCAAAAATCAATGGCAAGGCTTCTTGTCAATGCAAAGGAAAACCTCTTTCTTGCTTTTACAATAGTGCAAAAATTCACCACAAATATATTCTTATTACATCTCTTTTTTAATCAGTATCGCTTTCCTTTCCAATGCATACCAAGAATACTCCCTCTACAAGAAAGATCAAGATCTAAAATCCAAACCCACATCTTATGTGTTCCTGATTGGATGTCAATAAGTATCAATATTCATATCATTGTGCAGATCAAAATCATATTTTCATGTAATGCAAGTTCTGATGCTGTATGTGTCTCACAAACTAAATTTACCAACATCACCTAATAAAAAATGTCAGAGCATTTTGATGAAATATGCATCCAACAATACAAATACATACCTCTTAATTCAAATAAGACCAAAAAAGAAAGAAAAATCACATAAAGCCAATGCTTCCATCTATTATCTATAAACTACATGAATTTTGTCCCAAAGACAATTTGATATAAGAAAAAAAATGTTATAATACAGAACGGAATGGAAAGAACAGGATCCATGTAGCCAACCAGTCCAACCCCATATAGTTGGGACATGATGATGATGATGAAAATAAATGTTATATAAATGAGATATTCCACCCCCCCCCAAAAAAAAAAGAAAGCAAAAAAAAAAAAAAACAGAAACAGTTTTTGTTAGAGAAAAAACATGAAAAATACATCATACAATGTCTCCTCAAGGTAGGCACGTATCAGTTAACACTATCCAACTAATATGCATAACCAATAGAGGCAATACAGGTAGGACTGACCCCTGGAAAAACTGAGATGTCTACACCAGTTTTAGCAAGATTATCAGCTAGCACATAAACTGATCCTGAGATCCATTTAAACGATATTGGAAACAGTTAAAGTATTCAGAAATAAGAAAAAGAAGAAGAAGAAGTATAGTGCCATCATTCTGCCCTCCCCATCCCTGAAGACTCCCCCAGCTCCCGAGGGTCCTGGATTACCCATGGAGCTTCCATCAAAGTTTAATTTTACCCTTTGTTGTGCTGCAGGTGTCCAAGAAGGCTGAAGAGCAGGCTGTCTAGTTGAAGAGTTTGCCACTGCTGACCAACCCCTTTGTATATCAACCACTGAAAAGTCTTTAAATAAGTCACTAACTTTCAGCTAATGTATGACTTTAATGGCTATGCAGTCAATGATTTGTTATGTTGATCTTTGTGCCCCTTGGAATATTCTGTTATTCCTTTCTTCCCATAAAGACCAAAGAATGGCTGCTCTTGCTGCCCTCCACATCACTCTTCCCCTTTTCTTTGGTAGTAGGAAGAAACTTGGGTTGAAAATGAAGGGATGAGAGATCCATCATATGGATAGTCAAACCCTGCAGGAAGGTAGGGCGAATTTTCAAAATTTTCTCTCTCCCATGTGGGAATCACATTTCCTGTTTTAGAAAAGCTGCATTTTTCAAGGATAAATCTTGAACCAAGAACCGAACCAGATCTGAACCAAAATAGTAGGAGAGGGATATACCTGATACGAAGAAATAGTATCTCCCAATGAAGGTGTTCACGCCCAAAGAAAACTCCAAAGACTGCTCCCACTGAAGATGACACAGCGAATGGTGGAGCAGAATTAGCAGGGTCCGTCCAACGAACCAAATTCTTTAGCAAGAATTCGATGGAGGCAATGAGCACGACTTCAGATTAGCCTTTCTCCAAAGACTGATATCAAGACACCTCTTAATCGCTCCTATAATGGAGATCGAACTGGCAGTATGGCGGCAACTGGAGGAAATTGCAGGGAGAAGATGGCGTAGTCACACTGTTGTTGTCTTCTCTCTAGGTGCTTTGAGATCTGATCTCTGAGATTTCTGGGATGTGAGGATGATCTGAATGGTTCGCCCCCTCCTTTTATAGGCTTAAAGATAGCTCCTAATCTCATTAGGAGTTTCCTAATCCAAATCTGTATTTGGATAAGGAGTTCTCTTTAAGAGATAAGGATAAGCCCTTATCTTACCTGCAGATTAGATCAGCTCTCTCCTAATCTCATTAGGAGGTTTCCAGATTTGAATTCAGATCTGGACTCTCTAAGTGGATAGGGTCTTACCCTATCCTATCTGTTGATTTAATCCCAGATCCGCCCCCTTATTTAACTAATTAAACTAGGCCAGTTCGAAATGGGCTTTAGGCCCATTAAGTCTAAGTGCTCAAACTGCTTCCAAACTGCTGCCCAGTTGGGCTTTTTTGTATGGCGTGGGACCCAAACATTGATCTACACATCAGCCACATGGGTTCAGCCCAACCTCTATTACAAGGCATGGCCGAATTCACTGAAAAGACAGTGAACCCCCTGAAGCCCATCACATGGACTCCTAATGAGCCCAACACTTACACTAAGTGGTCCCTGGGCCAAGCCACCTTATAAAAACCCAGGGACTGTGGGCAGATGCAAGACTAGCCCATCATG